TCAGATACTCTTGAATATAGTCCTCGAGCGATCGAGTGCCCTGTTTGAGGGCTAATAACAGTCTTGCAATGTCCATACCTGGCCAGTGTCCACTTGAAAAGCCGCTGGATCCTTGTGTGGCCAAGTATTCTGTTACGGAGCTGATGGAACGAGAGGCATGTGGATCCATATGCAAGGCTTTATTTAGATGGAGACGTGTTCATAAAACAGGCATGGCTCAGACAATGGCAAACAGGTTTATTGAGGGCAAGACAGAAAAGTAATCCAAAACGGGCGTGGTCGATCAGCGGCTAACAATATCCAGAGGGCTTGACAAGAAGGGTAATCCGACAACATGAGCAATAGTCCAGGCAAGGTGCAAACATAGTCCGAATGGCAAGATGAAAGGATAATTTAAAATACACAGGCAAGAATTTGAACACGGGAAAGCAGGCAAGGCAAGGCAAGACTATGACTAGGAACTAAGAACTAGAAATGGCTCCGTAGAGTAGCTATCGCTATGAGAGTGATAAACGCTATACAATACTCGGCCCTGAATGGTGGTGTGAGACTGACTTATATAGTGTGTGTTATTGGTAGCAGCTGTGTGTGATTGGTTTCAGCTGAGCTTGTGATTAGTGCAATGGAGCATGGGAAATGTAGTCCAGGGTGATGTGTCACAGTCTGTGTAGTGTGAGAGTCCATGTGGAGACCACTGGTGGTGAGAGAACGGAAGTTTATAGACCGGATTCGTGACAGCAATACGGTACAGAAGTTTGGGGTCAGTAACTTTTTTTTTTTTTTTTTGAAAGAAATAATACTTTTTTATTCAGCAGGGATAAGTTGAAAGCAAAGACATTTATAATGTTACAAAAGTTTTCTATTGCAAATAAACACTGTTCTTTTAATCTTTATATTCACCAAAAAAAAAAAAAGTTGTTTTCAACATTAGCAATAATAAGAAATGTATCTTGAGCTGCAATAAAGGTTGCTGGTAAAGTAAAGGTTGCTGAAAAGTCAGCTTTGCCATCACAGTAATAAATTACAAACATACATAAATTAAAATAAATTTTAAGTTATTTTAAATCATAATAATATTTCATATTAATGTTAATATTAATTCAATGTATGTATTTACTATTAATATTTATATTACTGCTTTTTCGGTCAAATAAACACAGCCTAGGTGAGCAAAAGGGACTTCTTTTATTAAAAACAAATAAAAAAAATAAAAGAATCTTACTGGCCCAAAACTTCTGAAGAGTACTGTAAATATAATAACAATATAATAACCCAGAAATAACTTAATTTTAATAGATTTAAAAATGTGTGATGATGACAGCCCACGACTGAGATTAAGGACTAAATCAAGGAAATAAAGGCTTGATATTGATGTGGGTTTTAGAATCTGGCAGATTTAAAGTCTTTTTATGGCTCTGAAATGTGAAAACACATGTGTAAAGAGCAGAAGTATATTGATTTTTCATGTTACCTTCACTCTGCCTGTAGAGCATGGAGTCACTGCCATCACAAACACTGCCATTATCATTACTGCCTTCATGAGCACTCACCTCTACAAAAATGAAAGAGAGAGAGAGAGAGAGAATGTGTATAACCAAAATAAATGTGCAGTAAAAATTGGACAGCAAAGGACAGAATATTTTTCTCAACAATGAGGAGTAAGACAGGGCTGCTGCCTCAGCCCGACTTATTTTAACACACACACACACACACACACACATATACACACACCAATGAATTGGCAGATCTACCAGACCAATCAGACAGTCCAGGACTACAACTATTTGACATAGAAGTCAAATATTTGCTGTATGCAGATGACTTGCTAATTCTATCTAAAACACTAGATGGTCTCCAGAACAACCTATACATATTAACTAAATACTGCCATGATTGGACCCTAGAAGTCAACATCCAAAAAAACTAATATTATAATATTTCAGGAAAAAAAAACAAATCTAGAACATAAAAATATATTTACTGTAAACAACACCACACTTCAACATGCTTTACAATATACTTACTTGGTCTGGTACTTACTCCCACTGAAAATTTCAATTTGGCAATTAAAACATTACTTATAAAAGTCCTCAGGGAACTGCATGCCATACGAACAAACTTATTCAAAATAAACATTCCCATCAGAATTTGGACAAAGATTTTTGATAGTGTCATACTGCCTATTGCTCTATTTGGAAGTGAGATCTGGGCCCCAATGTGTAACTACAGCCATAAGGACTGGCACAAACATCCTTTGGAGGATCTAGATGTTAAGTTCTGCAGAAGCATCCTTCATGTCCACAGAAACACACCTAATAATACATGTAGAGCAGAACTAGAACAGCCCGTCTTCCCCTTAAAAGCACAATATGTAAGATTTTTTTATTAAAATATCCAAAAAATACCAGAACAGTGTTATATATTTTGCTGACTTGTGTACTTACATTATCCCAAATGTTTCCAAAGATTTTTGATAGTGTCATACTGCCTATTGCTCTATTTGGAAGTGAGATCTGGGCCCCAATGTGTAACTACAGCCATAAGGACTGGCACAAACATCCTTTGGAGGATCTAGATGTTAAGTTCTGCAGAAGCATCCTTCATGTCCACAGAAACACACCTAATAATACATGTAGAGCAGAACTAGAACAGCCCGTCTTCCCCTTAAAAGCACAATATGTAAGATTTTTTTATTAAAATATCCAAAAAATACCAGAACAGTGTTATATATTTTGCTGACTTGTGTACTTACATTATCCCAAATGTTTCGAAGAATGTTTAAATCCAGAGAAATAAGCTATTTTAACTAGTGACGCCTGCCAATGACGTCATAACCCTCCGATTTCCGGTTTTGTTTTGTAGAAAACATGGAAACACCAAAGACGCTTTAATATGTTGTGTGTTTTAATAGACCGGTGACGACCGCACAGAGTAGCATTATAACAGAACTTTCAAATGTATCTTGTATGATAAAACTGCACTGCTTTTTTCACCCACATACGCACGACCGGAAGGAGCGGAAGCGGTCGACTGTGGCATAATAAAAGCTCAGCTGCTTTCGAGCCATGTGTCACGCTCGTTCAGCGGCCTCGTTTCGCTTCGACGGCTTTCAGCCTCACTCTGCTTCATTCTACTACGTTATTCATGGATGAGCTAATGATTTAATATGATTTCTGCCCGAGTCCCATCGGATTGCATTGGCTGTGGGAATGAAGACGACAACTCCCATGATTCCACACTCAGTCATGGCGTCATCAAACTACGCCTTTGTCTCTTTGTTTATTTTGAATACTCGCCCTCTCTAGCGGCGAAAATGACATATTGTGCCTTTAATCTAATTATTAAAAAAGAGTTTTAAAGTTCTGGATTGATTGAAACTCCTGTTCTGAAGAATCTCTTCCATTTTAAAGCACTAAAAACACAAAACATGAGTGCTCAAAAAATCTTGGTATAACGGTGTCAGATTTGACTAACAAAGCATTCAATATCACCGACCCTGAAAAACCTGGAAGAATCAAAGAAATTATGAATAGAGAGAAAGAGACATACCATTTGTTCTGGAAAGAACAACCCAAAGACCAAAGTCGTCTCCAATGCTATTTGAGACTAAACAGAGAGTACAATCTGGCTGACTATCTTGTCTCAGTCAGGAATAGACACAGACATTTATTGACTAAGTAGAGACTTAGTGACCACCAGCTGGCCATAGATAGAGGACGACATAAGAAGACGTGGTTACCTAAAGACGAAATAATCTGTAACAAATGTAGATCAGGAGCAGTTGAGACGGAGGAACACTTCCTACTCCACTGTGACAAATACACATTCTTAAGAGATGCACTGTACACCCAAATACAGCAAATTATTCCTGAGTTCCAATCACTCCATGAAAATGACAAATTAAGAATATTACTTGGTGAAGGACCTACTTCCTCTTTAGTAGCATATCATATTTATAAATGCCACAAACTAAGAGGTAATGAGTGAACACATCTGCATTAGTACCATTTGGGGTCTGATTTATGACATCCTGTTGTCTTGGGCCTCTGTGGAATTTTTGTGACTCCTCGTGCCTCAACTCGGTTTTGACCAAATCTTAGATTGTCTGATTCGGTCTGATATCCTACATATATATTTTTTTTTATTCTGTTATGTACAATGCATTGGCAATATGTACCTAATATCATGCCAATAAATCAATATGAATTTAAAATTGAATTTAATTGAGAGAGAGAGAGTGCGAGAGAGAGAGAGAGAGAGAAATCAAAGGAAAGCAAAACATTTCAGACAAAATCGTGCTTGTCTCATCACATTTCTAAATACTTATATATTTACTTATAACCCTCTTCTCCATCATTTGCTGACATACTGCTACCATGATCTACAGTATAGACAATGTACACAGACAACACTTTTCAATAATTTGGTAACACTTCATTTTAAGGATGAGCTCTCACTATTAAAGAGTAGCTTATTAGCATGCATAATAGCATATTGGCTATTTATTAGTAGTTATTAGGCACATATTAATGCCTTATTCTGCACGACCATATTCTAGATCCCTTAACCCAACCCAATACCTAAACTTAACAACTACCTTACTACAAATTATTTATAAGCAGCAAATTAGGAGTTTATTGAGGGAAAACTCTTGAAACTCTTGAATATATGTTCCCTAATCTAAAGTGTTACCTAAAATTCCAGTCATTATTTGCGTTTTCAAAAAAACTTATTGAAGAATAAGACACAATCTTTTTAAATATACTTGAAACAACACAATATCAATGAACTAGATTGTGTGGAAATACAAAGCGCAAAAGTAGCATCACTCTTTAGTGAATCCACTCAGGGTTTGAATTGGTTCTCCTTCCACCTCCTCTTTAAATTGTCACACTCCTGTGGACTGTCGCTTGTGGTATCTCCCTCTGTGTCCTTATTTGGTTGTTCCTGTCCTCGTTATCAGTTAATCACCTTATTGTGCTCACCTGTCTGCCCCTCGTTATCCACCCTAAATTAGTTCCTGCCTCTTGTAGTCTAGTTTGTCAGTTATTGTCAATGTCCATGTTCCTGTCAATGTCTATGTTGATGTCTACCCTGTCTGGATTTCCTGTTTCTTTATTAAATATCCTTTGATTCGTCATCTTCGTCGTCCTGCCTATCCTTTAGAACACCTGGACCGTGACAGAATAACCGACCCAAAAGAGTTTAACTTCCGGGTTCTCCCCTTCGTTTGTTTTCTGTTTTTTTCCTTAGTGTTTTTCTTTCCGTTGTGTTAACCCCATGGATCCCTTCACGCGCCCCGAATTCCTCCTTCTCCTGCTGGAGCAGGAAGGCAGGACTCTCGAGGACCATACCAGACTGTTCCTGATGGTCGCTAACGTCACCAGCTATTCTGAACGCCGAGTGCAGAGCGCGGTCGTCCGAAGATGGTCCTTGGGAGGAATTTGCTGGCTTTGTGGAGTGGATCCTGGCGAGAAACGGGTCGCCACTCACCACCGGCCCCATGGAGGATCTTGCCGGATCCACTTTGGACCCAGAGCCCAGCCCACCATCTCCCTGCGGTACGGACTTCGTCGTCCTGCCTATCCTTTAGAACACCTGGACCGTGACAGAATAACCGACCCAAAAGAGTTTAACTTCCGGGTTCTCCCCTTCGTTTGTTTTCTGTTTTTTTCCTTAGTGTTTTTCTTTCCGTTGTGTTAACCCCATGGATCCCTTCACGCGCCCCGAATTCCTCCTTCTCCTGCTGGAGCAGGAAGGCAGGACTCTCGAGGACCATACCAGACTGTTCCTGATGGTCGCTAACGTCACCAGCTATTCTGAACGCCGAGTGCAGAGCGCGGTCGTCCGAAGATGGTCCTTGGGAGGAATTTGCTGGCTTTGTGGAGTGGATCCTGGCGAGAAACGGGTCGCCACTCACCACCGGCCCCATGGAGGATCTTGCCGGATCCACTTTGGACCCAGAGCCCAGCCCACCATCTCCCTGCGGTACGGAGCATCAGCCAGAGCCCACCGATGACGGAGAGCCATTTCCCGCCGCGATCCACGAACCAGAGCGAAGCCAAGCAACTGAGCGTAGGATCACCTCGGATGGTGAGCCCAAACCCGTCAGACCAGGTGCGAGTGACAGTGCCCACCACGATGGAGCAAGCCGTGGACAGGGTGAGCGCGGAGAGGAGCTCCGCCCCCTGCATCATGGCTGAGGGTGAGCTGACTATGGCGAGACATAAGGGCCAGAATGTGGAGGGAATTCAGGGTCAAAAGGAGGAGAAGAGACCTCGGAATCCTCAGTTTAGCCCAGGAAGGGCTCCCGATCCCCTGTCGAGCCTAGGAATGGCTCCCAATCCCCTGTCGAGCCTTGGAATGGCTCTCGATCCCCTGTCGAGCCTCGGAATGGCTCCCGATCCCCAGTTCAGCCCAGGAAGGGCTCCTGATTCCTCGTTTAGCCCGGGAAGGGCTCCTGATCCCCAGTTTAGCCCAAGAAGGTCTCCTGATTTCTCGTTAAGCCCAGGAAGGGCTCCAGCCCCCCCCATTAATGTTCATCAACGTTAC